TTCTAAAATTTAAAACTTCTTTCAAATATTAGTAAATCCTTTGATAGTTGAAGAGAAATTATTATTTTTTTCTAATATCACAAAAATATGTAAACCAAATAAATTTATGGGTCTTTGTAAATGAATATACAATCCAACTAACAAAGAGTGCTTAATGATGATAATTTTTTATTTTTCAATGAGCTGTTTGAATATATGTCTCTATTTTAATTTTTTTTCATCATCTAAATTTCAAACAAAATGAGATATTACAAAAGAGGTAGACTTTCTAAAGTCTACCCTTTTGTTATGTTACACTTTTTTATTGTACTTGTCTTTTTTCTTCTTAAATGATCACTATTTTATATGTATTTGGACCTGACATGTTTTTCTATATCAAACAAAATTTCTTTTATAATTTTGTTCTACATTGGATTTATTTACTCATTTTAACGTATTTTTTGGTTCACTTCGTAAAGCTATCTTCTAAATGATTGAAGTGAATAAATCAATTGGAACACAAATGGTAAAAGCGACATTCAAAAAAGGCTTCGACCACAAAAAAAAAACATTCAAAAAGGCTGCAATGTTACGTGCAAACTAACAAATTCAAGTGAGTAATGATGCGCATAAAAGTGTGGACGAGGAGCATTAGTGTAAAAGCATCTGCTATATTAAAATTGAAATCTTTTCCTATCTTATGCTAGCTATTTATTATAAGTCTGTAATTTAGGCTTTTACCTTAATTCATGAAGATAAGAATTTTTTTGTGTGTTTTTATGTTATTTATTTATTCAACCATTTTAATTATTTTTAAATGAATATAAGACTTATTTTAATCGAATAAGTATAAAGCTGTTACGATTCTAAAATCAGCATATTACTCATCTTGGTTATGACCTATGGTAGTTTATAACCTTTTGCGGGGATTAAAGTTGAGCTATATAAAGTTAGTGGAAAGATATCAGTTACTTTTTGGATACTAATCATTTGCAACGCCATATTAAATCATTTTCAACTAAAATTTTCAAGTATGATACAATTTATTTACAATCGATACTAAAAAATCTTCTAATAATCTTAACATCTTTCATTCAAAAATGTAAAAGAAAAATTTAAAACAGAAATAAAAACTGATTTAAACATATAAATTAGCTAGCCAAGGAGCATATGATTCAGAAATGAAATTTTAACGTTGTTGCCGTGAGATTTCCTTATCTTCTCTTACTCCAATTATTATCTTTCTTATTTTCTATTAATCCAGTTATTATCTTTCTTAAGTATTGGAATATTGGGGAATTTTCTTCTTTATTTCTTTATATTCAAATTTTTTTTTTTAATTGAGCTCTTTATTTATTTGTTACTATAATAGATATATTTTAATGTACATAACTATGACTTATTTATAATTAGTATCTTATATTTTATTTATTAAATCACCGAAGCATGCCAAATAAAATTAATTTAATCTAATCATCTAATTTAATGTCGAAGAATTAATTCTTTCATTCAAAAGGCAATGGTTGTGAAATGATGAGCCGGTGCTATAGGTAACAAACCAATGGGTATAAACTTGAGATACGCAAGTGGGACCAAAATATATACTCCCTCCGTTTCAATTTATGTGAACCTGTTTGACTGAGCACGGAGTTTAAGAAAAAAATGAAGACTTTTGGAATTTGTGGTCCTAAACAAGTTCAAATGGAGCCCAGCGTATTTGTGTGGTTATAAAAACTTCTCATTAAGGGTAGAATTGTAACTTTAAGCTAAATTGTTACCAAATTTAGAAAGGGTTCATTCTTTTTGGAACGGACCAAAAAGGAAATAGGTTCACATAAACTGAAACAGAGGGAGTAATACTCCTGTTGGGGAATTGCCTTGACAAATGTGTAAGGCAAAGGTGAGAAGGTTTGGGTGTAATACAACAATGCTGTATGGAAAAATGTGTAGTGACGCAGAAGCGAAGGGCAATTTTGTCAACATGTTCAAAATTAAATACAGCAGCTACAGAATAAATCCTTTTTGACCAATCATACTGCTCCATTTCAACTAAAATGACTAAAGTGCCCTTGATATCCCAAGCAGGCATGTTGACCTGCTGCTTGCTTATTCCCTCTTCTAATAAGTAGGAATTAAGAAACTCGTAAACTCTAAATGAATATATGACAGAAAAAATTTAATTGTAAGTACATTATCTAATTCAATATCTCCTCCGTAATCTTGTCAAAATTATTATTATTATTTTTTTTTTCTACTAAGTTAATCTTCTGAACCATTTGATAAGTGCATTTACAAGCAAATTTGTGTGTTGTTAAACTGTTTGAATATTACCAATGGTGTATATTCGTCATTTTTAGATAGGCCAAAGTTGGTTAATTCCAGTTGTAATCTGCACCGTGGTGTTTCAACGCATATTAATAAGACCTATCAGACAAGTGAATAAACTCAGATCAAACTGCCAACGTTTGCTTTGCTCATTGCCCCATTTCTATTTCTTCTTGGTACTTCCTATCATTGTAATCTCATAGAGAAAGCTCAATACACGCAAATTGTCTCGTATTTGTCCTTCTTATATTGGTCCGAGAGGATCAAACCCTCTACACAATACTTTTCTGAGTTTATTTACGTGGGTCCTGAAAAAGAATGAGTTTTGACAATTGGACTATGCACAGGGTTCAAAGCTGACGTCATGTTGAAAGAAAAATCTGCTGAATATTATGCAACATACACTAGGTAAGTAACAAAAGTTGAAAAGAAATGTTGTTTTCTTATGATTATATTCTCAAACACGCAATCTCCTGCAAAAAAATGATTGTCTGAAATTTCATTCTATATCCTTTTCCTTTAGTTAAACTCATAAAATTCCCATATGTTTTACACTAAGAAATAAACAACCCAAAAAAAAAATACGCATGTGTTATTATAATGAAATAACTTAAATACAGTGCCCCCTGCATCCCAAATAGAAAAATTAGTGTTGAAAGTACAAAGTTCACTACACCTAATTTCCGTATGAATTGGATATTTTTCGAAATAGAACTTGTATAGCTAGAAAGTACATAAAAATACTATAAATAAAATTGTTGTTAGACTAAAAATATTAAGAATATATGAAAAATCGTAGTCACAGATGGTATTATTGACTCCCCGAATAGTATACTGGCTTATAGTTGGGGTTGAATATTTATAGATTACAATTACCTTGTCTCAGAAGTTCGTTTCAACTAAATTCTAAAAGTTCTAGTGCTTGGTGTTTACTACGATCAATCATCCATCATTATATGTAAGACGTTAATTAAAAAAAATAGAAATTACGAATGAAGCCTTGAATTATCTCTTAACCAGTGTTTAGTTGAAACATCTGGTGCGGGTTGGCAAATGTGAGTATTCGTAGAACCCGTTTGACCATAGATTTTGGCGGCATTTTGAAATTTTTTTTTTGAAAACAATGTTTGTTCACGGAATATAATCATTTTTTTTATTAAAAAAAAATTGAGTGCTGGAAAAAAAGTGAGCTACGCGCCTCCTCCAAGATATTATGGCACAGGTCACTGTCCAGAGGAACACATACTCGTCCCCATAATAGAAGAGTGTCATTCTGGCAGAGGTTCAACTCCTTCTGTGTCATCAAGTACCTCAAGCTCTTATGATATGTAAAGATCTGGCACCCCCCATACAAGTAATGTCACCATATCTAAAAAGCGAAGATAATGGTTGCAAGCTCAAAAAGTTTCAAGTTTCCAAAAGGTTTATGACCGTTTTTGGGTGAAATTTTTTCTTCCACTCACAAAATTTTAACTTTTTTTCAAATAAAGTGTATGTCCAAACACCTTCAAAATATTATTTTTCAACATAACTTCAAAAACACATTTTTCAAATTTCAACCAAATCTATGTCCAAAATCCAAACGCTAGCTTGAGCTAATACAAATGAAACTTTTTGAGGGTACACTTGTCATTTTACACAGGCCAAGATTATTTACTAGTACTGTATTATTTTCCCAGTCCTTGTCTGCACCATAGGTTGTTCAACGCAAATTAATAAGACAACTCATCAGACTGTACAAGTGAATAAGCTCAGATCACACTGCCCTGTTTTCTTTTGCCAATTTTCTCTCTCTTATTCTACTTCTAAATTATCACCAAGTCATGAAAACTCAGTACCCTGCTGTGCTATTTCTCCTAATCATTGTGATACTCATTCTGAGCCAACTTTCAAGTTGCAGTAACAGCCAAGAAATTAGCACAGAGCAAATATTCAAAAGAGATTTAGATTCCAGGTTTTCATCTGCACCAGATCCTAAACAATCAAGAAATGAAGTTTTTGACCAAAGCTACGCAGTTCCACATCACGCTGTTCCGGGAGGACCGAACCCTCTACACAATTGATTATCTTTTCCACACATCCGGTGCACTAAGCTCCTGCTATGCGCGGGAAGGGCGGACCACAGGGTCTATCGTACGCTACCCTCCATTTCTGCAAGACGCTGTCTCCACTCATCTTATTGTTTCTACAAAATCTCAGTTTTTGCAGTTAGTGGTGTGAATTGTGATCAAGTTCTAATCTTTTGGTTTTATATTGTGGCAATCACAACTTTATACTAGGAAACAATAGAAACTAGTAATGGATAGTCTTCCGTTACATGTTCCAATTGATATTGTACATAAATATTTCATTGAACTTAAAAGTTTCTTCTTTTTTTTCCTTCTTCTGTATTTGAAGTTTTCTGTATTCATTTACCAAATGTATAAAATTCTCTTTGTACTTCCAGTTCAGTTATACACTGCAGGAGCTGCCCTTTCTATCAGGCAAACTTGATCTAATTATCAAGTAGTTCAAAAGCTGCATCACGTGATCTTTAAAAGCATAGTAACTTAAACAACTTCAAGATAATAATAATAATAATAATAATAATAATAATAATAATAATAATAATAATAATAATAATAATAATAATAATAATAATAATAATAGTAAGGCCACAGAGAGAAACATGCCAAAAGAAAATTTTCTTATATTGCTAAAAACCACACATTGAGATCACTTTATGTCCATTCAAATCAAAAACTGCGGCTGGTGCAAACAGGTCAACTAGCTAGTCTCAAAAGCAGCCAAGTAAGGTAAATTTTTCTTCCTTATTTTCTATCCTAAGCCTGGTTTAGAAAAAAATATTAAAGCAATAATAGCCTCACTGGCGGAGAAGGCAGCTGGCTTTTCGATCCATCGGATACATATGATACAAATGCAAAAACAACAAATGCTTACTATAGTACATCATAAGAAGATTCTATTAATAAGTCCTCCAAGCAGTCCAACATTTCATTTTTTAGCATTTCTTGGTGAATCCCCAGACGAATGACAATCTTGATATGAGGCAATTGGTAGTTTCGTACCTGTTACAATACGTCTGCTATGAGAAACAAAAGATGCAAATTATTTAGTGGATATCCCAAAATGAGTTCGATGACTCAAGGGCTGCATATTTTTAATTATAAAACACATTTCAGTGAAAAACTTTTCTTTTTCTGTTTTCCCAATGTCTGAACATCTCAACTCATTTTGCTTCCCCAACAAGATCTTCAAGTAACTGGATCCTAAAGGCCAAAAGATTATGCACGCCTTTGAGTTTATACTATGCATAGCATGTTCATCACGCCAATTAAACCTGTTTTTATATGAGAAAAATTCTAGTTCAGTTAGAATAGCAAAGTAACGCAAAAGCCATCAAATATATTCCCAATCATTAAATAATGTGCTTGATGAGAACACAAACACAATCTAAGTTATCAAGTTAGGAGAAAAAGGGATCTCCGGTGAATTAAATGCAAACCTGCTGGTTCTCTCTGGAAGAGGGAGCATTGTAATGTAATAAAGGAATCTTCAAAGCCACCACACTCAGCCGATATCCAAAATAGGATGTTTAAACGCCTCATATGTAACTCAGGTAATGGGATGAATTTTTGCTACATAAGCTCTGTGCCCACTGGATCAACCGAAAAATGAACAGAGAGATGTTTTTGGACGATTGGCTGAAATTTAGATCTCCACATCTGCTTTCAATAAGGAAAGCGTTCAGATTTTAGAAAGTAGAATCATCATCATCAAGTTATGAAATTTTGGCCTAAGCTACTTCTAGCTTCCTTTTAAACTTCAAGATCATTATATCAATTATTTGGGGATGTTATGAAAATGATAGTTAGAAGATAATGCCGTTGTATAGGATGTGTATTTTGAAGCATAATCAATCCCACAACCTAAATATTACAAGGGGCTTTAAATACCTTAAATCTACAAAAGATAATTTCAACTTATCTGCTAAAGAACAAGTAAGTTTGACTGTGCTTACATATTTGTATTCTGAACTGTTCATGAACATCTGGAATGCTTCAGCTGATAGATAAATGCACAGTTAGTTGTTGGAAATATTTCAAATTGCAAGTAAAAGGAAAAAGATGAGAGCTCACAAGAGCGAAACCGTATTACTACACCATGAGTATATTCTGCACCGGAAATATTAAAAATTGAACCTGAAAAAGAGAGGTGATAATTCTGTGAGTGCTGGTGAACTGGTACAGAAATCAGTACCACAGAACAAGTTATGAGAATAGGAAATGTGTATCTGATCAGTGATTGAATAATTGAAAGTAAATGGATTAAAACAATCCTTCCATTTTTTAAATATCTCTGAACTCCAAGTTTTTTTTTCCTCCAGATTATGCTTTCTAATGACTTCTATCCTAAACAAGAAAATGCAGCATGTCAACTGGGGAACAATCTATAGATAAGTACATCATCAGTAAAACATTCCAGGAATACCAAGAGTAGCCTGAACGATTAAGGATGGGAACTCCATTATCAGCTTTGACAGAGCAAGCAAAGCATCTTCAGCAGGACCATCCAAAGAACTCTTGACAAATGCTATCAGAAGTACAAGCTCCACGCCATAGTTGAACTCCTGCCACCCAAACACAGTCAAATATCTCATGTTGATACCAAAAACTACTGTCACTCCCTAATGCTTGCTAGCAAGTACAAAAATCACTGAAAGACGGGCAAGATAAAAATAGCTTGGATGAGAAATAATGGAGATACAATTATTAGTTCAGAAGACTGTCTCTAGCAGAATCTGGAAACCCCCAAATAATACACATTAAAGATTGAACAACTAATGAGCTCACTGTCGGGAATCAACAATTAACCTATTCCAGAAGAAGTCTCGAGATTAGCCTATCCCGCATTAAGTATATAAGAACATAAATAAGTTGGATGGAAAAAGGAATAACAACTCTAAGACAGCAAGTCCAAAAATTCTAACGAGATTCAAGTAAGTGGATATGTTTCAACCTCCCCTTTTCGAAATATTGGCAGTATATCATCTTCTACTTCGGACTCAAAATTGGCATTGATAATTTCCTGTCAACATGTAATACTAAACGTTTCAGAATATATAGAAGAACAGAAATTAAGGGGGGTGGGGGGTTTCCATCTCCAGCAGAACTAACGAATATAAATCAAAAGGCACAAAGGATTTTGTTCTTTACATGTTAGGGCATACATGGCAGTAAGGCAGTACATGGTCCCTAAGGACTCCCACGTAGAATTGGTTCTCATAGAACTTTGACAGATCCTCCTTTGTCTGAAACCGCATGTAGGTAGCATGGCTATACTTATCATCATTGCCACCAGAGATGCGCCCTACAGCAGTTAATAGAATGTTAAAGTTAAACAAACATTTAGAGAATAGACACCTCAAAAGGCCTCCTCTGCCCCACTTCATGCAAAACAAACGTGAAAGGAAGACTGAACTGAAGCTTCTCCATTAAGTAACACAAGCTTAGCATTGTTCAGAATGAGAAGCAACTGCATTTAACCCAAACCATTTAAGTCAAATTATATATCTAAATCACTTTCTTCATTTTATGACTCAACATCGGAGAAATTTAAACTTATTCTTTAGAAGAGTTTGCATTCTGTGTTTAGCTGCCTAGAACTTGACCACATTTGTGTAGATCTCATATTATGCTTTGTCAACAAAGACATATCAGACCAGACATAAGTGCAACAAATACAAGAACTCGACTAAAATTCACATAGCGCGAGTAAAGCAAAAACTAACGGCCCTTATTATATCAATGCAGAAGTCAAACAAGAAGTAACTATGACCTAGTGAGATGGAAAGAATGCCACGCATTTGATATTGGGTTGTGTACAGGTAATCCAGCATATCTTTCTCCTGTTCTTCAGATAAGTCCTCCTTCCCTTTGATCAAACACACGTGTTCAACTACTTTTCTGCAAGCAACAAGCAGGTATTTTTTTGTCAAGATAAAACTTGAGAAAACAGAATACAGAAAGAAACTGATACTTTATGCATTTGGTGCGCTAGTTTTGAGAGAACATACCATGCAACATGAACAAGATATAAACTACATTCAGGACTGGGGCATACGGTGAAGAAAATGCTATATTTCCCATAAGCTACCAGAAAATATGCCCAAGTAAAAATTCTATAGGCAGATTAGTTGGTTAAGTTATAAGCAGTTTTACAAGAATTCCTGGAGCTTCCACCCTAATGAAAATTCTCTTATAATTATCCTCATCTTTCTTTGAAAGTATTACTAAATGTGCAACTCGGAGCCCAAAATGAACAAAATGCAAAGCAAAACGAATTCTAGACTACATATGGAGAGAGGAATATCACAATCAAGAATTGCCAAGCTGAGATAGCGAAGCAAGACTTTTTTTTATAACCGAGAAACCCTAGGGCCAATGGCGCACGGTTCGCAACATGGTATACAATATTTAATGTCCTTTTCCCCTTTTACATTTTACATAAGTACACCAGAAAGACCATTGTACATAAGGCAACTTATCCTTGATTAGAAAAAACATTTAAATTATAAAACAAAAAAAGTTGTGAAAACCTAGGAGATTATCACTAAGTCATATGCTGATTAAAAGGACTCACACATTCCTGTCATATTATCAATGTCTTACTGAATTAGGCGAAGAGCATATGATTTTTTTATACAACCAAGTCAGTATCTGTATAAACTTATAGAACAGAGAAATCGCAAGAACCTTTTCCGTTTGGGATCATTACCAAAGCTTCGTTGTTCAGAAGCTGAGCATATTACAATGCGGTTCTTGATTCGCAACTCATGATTTGGTTTCAAAATACTACCCAAAGCTGCAACCGCGGAGGAAACAAAGGAATTAACAGTTACCATATTATGTAATAAAAACAGAAGGATTGCAGTTAACAAACTGAAATTTGGACAATCCATTTGAGTAAAAAAAAAATGCAGTAATTGATTAGTATAGTATTTGACACGAAATTACCATTCCATTTGGGGTTCTTCTTAAATGGAAAAGGACTGAAATTGAAGGGCTTTTTGGGAGAAGAAGCTAGGGTGCTATTGAGGAAGATATTTGTGAGAGGAGAAGCGGTGGTTTGAGTATGAATAATCTGCATTTTTTGATTTGCCGCTGTATCTCTTGTGTGGAATAGTGGGAGCCCAACGCTCAGTGTCTCATTTAACAGAAAGATTTGGTGAACAAAAGTACAGATACTTAGGTACTGAAACGGGTGGACTAGGAAAAACCGTTATTTAAATAAAGGGAATTAGATTCGCGCTTGTTTATCTCCGTTACTCTGTTTTCTTTAAAGGCAATAGAGAACTAGTAATATTATTTCATAGCAGTAATATTAATATGGGGTAGGTGCCAAAATCTTTGAGCAAAATTCTTTTATAGTCCATGTAAGGATCGTCACTGAGAATCAGAATAACCGAGCTCAGCCATGTCTGTCATGGTGAGCAGTGAAGCTTCTAGAACTGAGAGAGAATGAGAGGAAGAAAGAAGGTGGAATCTATGAAAATGAAGCTCAGACTTTATTGATACAATACAGAGTATATTTATACAACTTTGTACAGCTGACACTTGTACAACTGGCACTATTAACAAAGAAATACTAACTAACTGTCTAACTGCTCCAGCTAATTATCTGACTATAAAGAATAAAGACTAAGTATTAATTAAATAAGATATCTCAATACCCCCTCAAGTCGGAGGTGGTGAAAACACTGCTAACTTGGCTAAAACTCCAGAATGCTTGATGCCTGTTAGGGCCTTGGTAAGTATATCCGCAAGTTAATGGTCAGTTGTAATGTGATGCAGTGAAATAAGGTCTTCTTACAGCTATTTCCTCACAAAGTGGCAATCAACTTCGATGTGTTTAGTATGCTCATGAAAAACAGTATTTTAGCTATGTGTAGGGCTGGCAAACTATCACAAAATACTGAAATGGGATGAATGGAAGGAATTCTTAGGTCAGACAGAAGCCTGCTCAACCAAACAAGCTCACCAACCACCTTTCTAAGGGACCTTGCCTCTGTTGAAGATAGAGAAACAATTTCCTATTTTTTAGATTTCCAGCTGAGTGGAGTGTTTCCCAATAGAACAATGTACCCACTTACAAACCTTCTTGTATCTGGGCAAGAAGCCCAATCAGAGTCACAAAAAGCTCTAACAGCCCAGTCCCCAGACTTGGACACGAAAACTCCTAAAGTAGGATCACCCTTGAGATACCTTAGCAAGTGATAGGCTGCTTTTAGATGAGGTTCCCTAGGGTTTTGTATGAATTGGCTTAAGTGTTGTACTCCAAAACCTATGTCCAATCTTGTGTTGGTAAGAAAGTTTAATTTCCCTATTAGCTTTCTGTAAAAGGTTAGATCATCTAATGGCTTGCCTTCCTTGGCCTTTAGTTTTTCATTAGGATCAAGAGGTGAACTGAAAGCAGTGTTCTCCAAGCAATTGTACTCTTTTAGCAAATCTAGAACAAATTTTCTTTGAGAAATAACTACACCATCAGGCTTGTATAGAACTTTCAGACCTTAGAAGTAGTACAAGTTGCCCAAATTTTTTATCTTAAACTTGTCATGAAGGAAAACTTTGAGCTGAAGCATTCCCTCATGGTCTAGTCCTGTGACTAAGACATCATCTACATATACTGCCACATAAACTACTAAATATCCATCTTGCTTGTAAAATAGTGAATAGTCATTCAAGGAATGGTTGAAACCTTTAGAGCACAAGGCCTCAGTTAACTTCTCATACCACTGTCTACTAGCCTGTTTAAGACCATATAAGGATTTATTTAGTTTTCAAACTAAGGATTGATTTTTCACCATGAGGCCCGGTGGAACTTGCATATACATCTCTTCATGCAAATTCCCATGAAGGAAAGCATTGTTCACATCCAATTGAAACATTTGCCAATTATTCTTTACTACAACTGCAATGAGTGTTCTTACTGTAGTTATCTTAACTACTGGAGAAAAAGTCTCTGTGAAGTCTACACCCTCCTGCTGAGTATAGCCCTTCACAACCAGTCTGGCTTTAAACCTTTCTATTGTGCCATCAGATCTGTGTTTTACCTTGTAAACCCATCTACAGTCTATAGCCTTTTTGTTGGGTGGAAGAGACACTAAGCTCCAGGTGTTGTTGGCATAAAGTGCCTCAAACTCTTGAATCATGGCTGCCTGCCAAGCATGGCTGACATAGCCTCTTCAAAAGAAGATAGTTCACTATCATTGCAAATGTTTCTTACCAAAGCCGATTGTTAGGATTCATTGATTCATGGGTTATGTGGTGACAGTTAGAAAACAAGTTATTGAGAGAAAAAGGAGTGTTTATCAACATTACTGACATTGTGTACATAGTCTTTCAGATATGTAGGAGTTTTGTGCTCCCTCTGTGATCTTCTTAGAAGTTCAGAGAGATGATGCACTGATGGAGAACTAAGAGAGGGAGGTGAGTATGAGGGAGAAGGTGCAGAATTGGCACGGGGAGAAGTTTGAAAGGGAAAACCAAAATATGAACAAGGTGAAGGGGGAGAAGTAGGTATAGGATCAACTGGACCAGGTGAATTCACATATAAAGAATCAGATGGTGAATTATCAGTAGGCATTTCTGTGGCATTGTCATGACTGACAGCCACTAGTTCATCAGAGGGGATAGTATCAAAGAATCTGGAAAATGACACAAACTTAGACTTAGAATATATTTTAAAAGGAAATATAAACTCATGGAAGATAATATCTCTGCTAATGTATATTTTCTTTGTTGACAAATCCAATACTTTGTAACCTTTGACACCAAATGGATAACCTAGAAAGACATATGGAACTGACCTTGGCTTAAATTTGCTTATGTGAATCTTAGGTGTTGTAGGAAAGCACAAGCAACCAAAGTTTCTTAGCTGTGTATAGTCTGGTTTCTTGCCATATAGAACTTCAAAAGGAGACCTGTTTTGGAGATATGTAGTAGGTAATCTGTTTATGATGTGAGTGGCTGTTAGAACACACTCCTCCCAATACTTCAAAGGTAATTTAGATTGGAAAAGTAGGGCTCTAGCTGTTTCAAGCAAATATCTGTGTATCCTTTCCACTACTCCATTTTGTTGTGGTGTATAAGGACAAGTTATTTGGTGAATAATCCATTTTGACTGAAAGAAAGTATTGGTTTCTAGACTGTTAAATTCCAATCCATTGTCAGATCTAGGGGTGGTCATGGTTCGATTTGGATTTGTTTTTCCCTAAAAAGAAACCCATCTACAGTCTATAGCCTTTTTGTTAGGTGGAAGAGGCACTAAGCTCCAGGTGTTGTTGGCATAAAGTTCCTCAAACTCTTGAATCATGGCTGCCTGCCAAGCAGGGCTGACAATAGCCTCTTCAAAGGAAGATAGTTCACTATCATTGCAAATGTTTCTTACCAAAGCCGATTGTTAAGATTCACTGATTCATGGGTTATGTGGTGACAGTTAGAAAATAAGTTATTGAGAGAAAATGAGCGTTTATCAACATTACTGACATTGTGTACATAGTCATTCAGATATGTAGGAGTTTTGTGCTCCCTCTGTGATCTTCTTAGAAGTTCAGAGGGATGATGCACTGATGGAGAACTAAGAGAAGGAGGTGAGTATGAGGGAGAAGGTGCAGAATTGGCACGGGGAGAAGTTTGAAAGGGAGAACCAAAATATGAACAAGGTGAATGGGGAGAAGTAGGTATAGGATCAACTGGACCAGGTGAATTCACATATAAAGAATCAGATGGTGAATTATCAGTAGGCATTTCTACGGTATTGTCATGACTGACAGTCACTAGTTCATCAGAGGGGATAGTATCAAAGAATCTGGAAAATGACACAAACTTAGACTTAGAATATATTTCAAAAGGAAATATAAACTCATGGAAGATAATATCTCTGCTAGTGTGTATTTTCTTTGTTGACAAATCCAATACTTTGTAACCTTTGACACCAAATGGATAACATAGAAAGACATGTAGAACTGACCTTGGCTTAAATTTGCTTATGTGAATCTTAGGTGTTGTAGGAAAGCACAAGCAACCAAAGTTTCTTAGCTGTGTATAGTCTGGTTTCTTGCCATATAGAACTTCAAAAGGAGACCTGTTTTGGAGATATGTAGTAGGTAATCTGTTTATGATGTGAGTGGCTGTTAGAACACACTCCTCCCAATACTTCAAAGGTAATTTAGATTGGAAAATCAGGGCTCTAACTGTTTCAAGCAAATATCCGTGTATCCTTTCCACTACTCCATTTTGTTGTGGTGTATAATGACAAGTTATTTGGTGAATAATCCATTTTGACTGAAAGAAAGTATTGGTTTCTAGACTGTTAAATTCCAATCCATTGTCAGATCTAGGGGTGGTCATGGTTCGATTTGGATTTGTTTTCTCCTAAAAAGAAACCCATCTACAGTCTATAGCCTTTTTGTTAGGTGGAAGAGGCACTAAGCTCCAGGTGTTGTTGGCATAAAGTGCCTCAAACTCTTGAATCATGGCTGCCTGCCAAGCAGGGCTGACAATAGCCTCTTCAAAGGAAGATAGTTCACTATCATTGCAAATGTTTCTTACCAAAGCCGATTGTTAGGATTCATTGATTCATGGGTTATGTGGTGACAGTTAGAAAATAAGTTATTGAGAGAAAAGGAGTGTTTATCAACATTCCTGACATTGTGTACATAATCTTTCAGATATGTAGGAGTTTTGTGCTCCCTCTGTGATTTTCTTAGAAGTTCAGAGGGATGATGTACTGATGGAGAACTAAGAGAAGGAGGTGAGTATGAGGGAGAAGGTGCAGAATTGGCACGGGGAGAAGTTTGAAAGAGAGAACCAAAATATGAACAAGGTGAAGGGGGAGAAGTAGGTATAGGATCAACTGGACCAGGTGAATTCACATATAAAGAATCAGATGGTGAATTATCAGTAGGCATTTCTATGGCATTGTCATGACCGACAGTCACTAGTTCATCAGAGGGGATAGTATCAAAGAATCTGGAAAATGACACAAACTTAGACTCAGAATATATTTCAAAAGGAAATATAAACTCATGGAAGATAATATCTCTGCCAAAGTGTATTTTCTTTGTTGACAAATCCAATACTTTGTAACCTTTGACACCAAATGGATAACTTAGAAAGACATGTGGAACTGACCTTGGCTTAAATTTGCTTATGTGAATCTTAGGTGTTGTAGGAAAGCACAAGCAACCAAAGTTTCTTAGCTATGTATAGTCTGGTTTCTTGCCATATAGAATTTCAAAAGGAGACCTGTTTTGGAGATATGTAGTAGGTAATCTGTTTATGATGTGAGTGGCTGTTAGAACACACCCCTCCCAATACTTCAAAGGTAATTTAGATTGGAAAAGTAGGGCTCTAGCTGTTTCAAGCAAATATCTGTGTATCTTTTCCACTACTCCATTTTGTTGTGGTGTATAAGGACAAGTTATTTGGTGAATAATCCATTTTGACTAAAAAAAAGTATTGGTTTCTAGACTG